AGTAGCCCGTATTTGTCTAGCCTCAGGGAAGTGAGCTGCTTTTCTGTGATTCTTCAGTCCCTTTGGCTTTCTAGTGACATGGGCAGCTACACAGTAGCACCCTGCATTTGGTTCTGGAAGTGCTTCCTTAAGAGGAGAAGCTACTGTTCATAGTCACTGTTCAAAGCTTCTTAGTGAGGGAAGCCTCAGCTGGAAGCCTCAGCCCTGCTCTCAGGACTTTTCAACAGATTGTATCCCACCCACCCAAATTGTCCAGGTTCCTCTCTTTCTTCAAGTTAACTGAATACAGACTTTATCTACAACATGCCTGCATGGCAACACCTGGAAGACGACATTACTGAATAAAGACCATTGTTCAGCCAAGTTAACTACCAAACTGATGATCACACCCCCATTTCTTCTCTGTTTATTTTTATCATTTGTAATGATTACATCACTAACTAAACTGTCATTTTTAAGTATTTTCTCTTATTAAGTAAGTCCTCAATGTTTATAATTGTCTTACTTATTATAACTAAAAACTAACCGTTAGGTAAACGAGCCAAAAACTAGGACCAGAGACAAGGACTACAACAAGCTTTTTTTATGGGGAGGATCTGCTGGTCTGTCTCCTAACAAAGGAAAAGCAGCATGGAGAAACAGGGAGCTTCTTTTATAGGAGTGGGGTGGGATTAACCTGAGCTGGGGTGGAGCTGAGTGAGGTAGCATTAAGGGATTGGAGGAATCTGTGATATCACTAAGAGAGGCTTGTGGCATCACTGGTTACTCGAAGGTAGCAAGTATCAGGTTACTCTTTCAATGAGAAAAGAGGCATGATGGGAGGAAGGCTGTCCCTTGGTAGAAGAGACCATATTTCACATGGAGGCTGCTATTCCATATGGCAGCCATCTAAAGGCACAGAGCATTATGGGAAGGAAGCTACTGTTTTTTGTAGCAGCCATCTTGAGGCAAGGGAAATCTAACATTCCAGGCTTTTGTTTTATGGTTTTGGGGCAAAGTTCTCTTCTTTGGAACTGCTTCACGCTGACAAAGGGGCAAAGATTGGGGCTAAACCTGGATCTGATGGGAGCAGCAGTAGGTGTGAGCTATTTCCGTCTGCCACAGCACCTGGTATCCTGCCATGACATTTTGTGACTGTCTGGTAAATGTCCTCACGTGTTCCTGCAAGAAATTTTGAAAATGGTGAAATAGACTGGGTCTGAAAAGCACAATAAGACAATTGTGACTAATGGCCCATTAGAGGAAGGAACCAGGGCATCCAATTATTTAGAGAAAAGAGGTTTTCAGTAGCCCAGTGGCATTGATCAATATTTGAGGTTCTTTTAATGAGTCTCTTTGCTGTATCTTGTACTATGTCTGATTGGTTTGTATAGCAACAGCATTTTTTCCACCAGGAAAAGACATATACCACCTTTCTCTGCTGTAGGAAGATCTAACCCCCTTTTATTTAGAAAGAGTGACAGCTGCTAAGGAGTCCATTTGGTTTTGTAAAGATATAATTGATTTGGCTATGTCTTTTAGTACCAGATCTGTTGGGCATTGTTGGTTTTATTCTCCCACAGAAGGAAGAATCTTTTGGTATCCACCAATAGCCATCCTGGAGAGTGGTTTCATGTTGGTATAAGAAGGCATTCTGAAACAGAGGGGGCTACATCACAAAGGGTCCAGGGATGTATAGTCTTGCATGGCATATGAGGACCATTATAGAACCCTGAAATTTTATTGAGAAGGCCCTGTATTATAAGTTCTGGAGCAGCAGTGAAGCAGACAGGCTGAGTAAAGGGACCCTTTGGGTAACCCTATTATTAGAGTGATCTGAAGAAGCCTGTAATTGTAATGTGTAATTGCACTTTTGAGGGGGAAGATGTCCCAACATGGAGCCCATGGACGAGTTATGATGAGGGTAAAGTGGGACTTGAAAGCTCAAGATAATGTCAGAGGCTATAGCTCCAAATATAGGTTTCTTCTTACCTTCATATAGAGAAAGGTTAGTAAGGTAAGACTGACGGAGCCGGGCTATGCTACCTATCTGTGTTCGCTTTGTCATGTCAGTGATATGAAAATCGGTGAGGGAGTTTTTATGAAGTGGCTATGATAAACCTCCAGTCTTATATTGAGGATGGTGAGGCTGGCTGTAGCCCATATTTTGGGAAGCACTGGGATAGCCCCATAGGAATCAATGGTTAGGGATACACAGAGCCAACAGTCACTAGCTAAAGATGGATTGGATCGATTTAGTAGGGAGTGGGTTAACTGTATCTAGTAGGAAGTGGATTAATTGTATCATGTTGAATGGATAATTTGGCAGCAGGGAGTGAGTTAATTGGAGGGTACCATGTGTGTGGTTTGGGCTAACAGGCAGGGGTGGAGACATGGAAATGGATTGTAGCAGGAGGAAGATAAGAGTGGGGGCCTTTGGGAGAATTTTGGTGTGGATCCCAGAGTGCATGATGGGACAGTGATAAGTCCTGCCAGGAGAAGGAATAGAAGAGCAACAAGACAATTTGTATGTGAGATCAGTCTTGGGGTGAAACAGAAAAAAAAACAACAACAACAACAACAACAAAAAACAATTGTCCAAACAAAATACAAGGCCCTGTAGAAGGCTAGAAAGGGTGGATGGCAAGTTAACACCAGCAACCTAGAACACCAAGGAGGATAATGATGAAATCATAAGTTGCTGCTAAAAGGCATTTATCTAAAGCTTTCCAGTTCAATGGGGCTGTGGCAGTGAGTCTAATTTTAAAGATGAACCTGGAAAGAAACAGGAAGAGGAAGCACGGGATATAGTGGGTGCCCCTGTGCTCAAGGCATCACAATATCCCAAGAGGCCTTTAACTGAGAGGAATGTCTCCAGGCAGAGGAAGGGGTGACAATAGACAGGAAACAAGGAGCAAAGAAAAGAGTTGTATCTCAAAACGTGAAAATTCAGTCTGTGTTCCCTGAAACCAGAGGTCCTCTACCCACTGCAAGGTTGCTTCAGGGTTATCCTCCCTGGGGGGGGGGCAAGTGATGTCTTCAAGGATGAGTTTGAGGAAGGCCTCGAACTGGCACTATTGGGACTGTGCATCCGTATTTCCTAAGGGCTGAGGACCTAGGCCAGAAATGCAGGATGAACAGAAGAGATGTACCAAGAAATAGGACTGAAAGTTGGGGCAACTCCATGGCCAGAAAAACAGGGACAGATCACAACCATTGTGTCAGGATCTGTGCAGATCTCTCTTATACCAGACATTTGGGCGTGGAGTGGCTCAGCGGGATGAACAGCACTGAGGTAAGAAGAGTGCTCTACCTGTAAGCTCCCATGTGTCCTCATCACAGAAAGTGATGTTGGAAGAACAGAATGGACAGTTACCAGGTTGATAGGAAAGTCAACATGTGAGGCTTTGTACTGGCAGAATGAGAAATGTCGAAGAGAGGGAGGAGGAGAAGTGTGGGCCTAAAGCCAGAAGGCAGAGGGCTCTCTTGAACATTGTTCCAATAGCAGCCAAGAGACAGCCCCTCAGGAGGTGTCTTCCTCTGGAATCTTTGGGAGGGTGTGGAACAGGGTTATTTCTCATTTTTTATATGAAACCTTTACCCAGAGGTATTGTATTGTAAGTTGAGAGAGTCGGGCTTTGTCCTTTGAGACTCAGGACCCATTTTTGCATTAAAAATTAAGTAATGAGGCTGTATGTTGTTGAGAGAATTCATGGGTGGGGCTGCATGAAAGCAGATCATGTACGTATTGAAGCAGCTTAGAAGGAGATAGATTTAATTTTGAGAGGTAAGCAACTAGAACTTATCTAAAGAGGTGTGGGCTATCCCAAAAGCCTTGTAGAGGACTGGCCAAGTAAGTTATTGAGAGTGTTTTGAATCAGGGTTGGCCCATATGAATGTAAAAAGTTCTTGTGAGTTGTGGTGTAAAAGTAGAGTGAAGAAAGCATCTTTGAGGTCTAGAACAGTGAAATGGCATGTGGAAGATGGAATATGAGAAAATAGAGTGTAGGGATTGGGAACCACTGGGTGTACAGAAAGAACAGCAAAAATGAATGGTCCTTAGGTCTTGTACCAATCGGTAGGAGCCATTTGGTTTTAGCGCTGGGAGGATGGGTGTATTGTAGGCGGAGTGATTTGGTCTAAGAAGTCCCTTATCAAGTACCCTCCAGTGACCCATTTGCTTGCAGGTAGGACAAGGGCCTGGGATTGGGGCATTATCTAGCCCAGTGCCGAGAGTCTGTCTATATTTAAAACAGGCCCCAGGGGAAGGGCCATCTGGAGAGAATGTCCTCTTGTAGGACAGTGGTTTACCCTGAAGAGCTGCTGCCAGCACCTGGTAATTATCCACCTTCTGTTGTTTTGCCTGTTCCTCAAGATTATTGAACACCATAAAGGCAATATTAAGGAGCTCTGTTTGTGTAACCTGTGGACCCTGTTTGACCTTTTTAAATTTTTTTTTGTTTTGTTTTGTTTTGTTTTGTTTTTTTGGTATCAGGGCAGACTGCGTAATGAAATGAGCATTAATAATAATAATCATGGCTGCCTGGGATGTAGGTTGGATTTTAGTATATTTTTGGAGAGGATCAGTCAATCAGGAAAGAAACTGAGCTGGATTTTCCTGAGGTCCCTGGGGATTTTTCTGATTCCCCTGATCTTATCAAAATTAACTGTTTTTTGGGAGATCCTCTAGGCCTTCAATGACACAAACAATCTTATGGTCTAGAAGGTCTCTGCCTGGGTCTTTATCCTGATAAGTCCAGTCAGGTTGGACATCTGGAACTGCCTGTGTGCCTACTAATTTGTTCAGGTCTGTGGCACGGAAGTTGTCTGCTGCTGCCTGGGCTGCCCTCCAGGCTCTATGATGCTCTTCTGGGGAGAGAGTAGTTGAGACAATTGTGTAGATATCTCACCAAGTCATGTCATAAGATTGAGTAAGGTAGTGAAACTCTTCAATGTAGACATCAAGATCAGAGAAAAAGAAGCTTAAACATTTTTTTAATTTGAGAAAGATCAGAGAAAAAGAAAGGAACATGTACTCTGCAGTGCCCTCAGTTCCAGTGACCTCTTGGAGAGGCATCTGTGTGGCTGGGGCCAGTGTTGTAAGGGTGGGGCAGTGGGAACAAGTGCAGGGTGGGGAGAAGCAAGATGACAGAGATGAGGGAGGGTCACAAGATGGCAGAGGTAAAGGAGAGGCAGAAGATGGCGGAGGAGAAGAAGGGGTACAAGATGATGGAGGAGGAGAAGAGTTGCAAGGTGGCAGAAGTGAAAAGGAGGCCAAGATAGCGGAGGAGAAGAGACACCTGAGGAGACAGAGGGAGAATCAACAGGACTATAAGGAGGCGGAGGTATGAGTGATGAGTGATTGGCTGGATTAAAAACATAAGAATCAGGAAGGGTAGGGTCAGGAGGGGTGGAAGATGGAGCCTGAGCTATAAGTACCTGAGAGGACAGACGGTTTTGACAGAGAGAAGGGCAAGAGTGGAGGTTGAAGAAGGCTTATATATATAGGGGATTTTTGACCATTTGCCATCGCATTGACAAAAGTTGCATAAATTGTGTTAAAATTGACAGTGCCATTTTCTGACCATTGAGATTTATTTTTTAATTTGTCCTGAGGCCAAATTTGGTTGCAATAAAAAATGAGTCATTTTGGCTTAAAGTCGGGTCTCAGCAACCCAGGGGAACAAAGTTGTGCCAAGAGGCGTTGAGGGAGGGGGTTTGGATCATTGGGTGCCCATGTTAGGGCGGGTGAGGAGGATTTAGCTGCCTAGGAGGAGGACAAAAAAGAGAAACATCTTCGTCTTTTTTGATACTCCCCGAGTCAGTTCCCAGAAGGGGAGAATGAGAGGAGCTGAGACGATGGGGCATCCCCCAGGGGCGCAGTCCTGGGCCTAGTGACCCTAGAGGGTCTCTGACCAAGCTCTTGTATTTCTGGGAAGACCCCGGAGAGAAACAATGAGAATGAGAGAGAGAGGACCTGAGCAGACTGAAGCTAGTCACCCACTCAGCCTCAAACCAGTGACCGGTGTGGATGGGCGTCATCAGCAATGGCAAAGATAGACAGCCCCGAGGAGGTCCTGACTTGGCAGATGTGGTCCGGATGAGGCAGCTGAAAGGGCAATCGACCCCATCCCATAGAGGATCCTCATTTAATCCACCGCCTTCCTCCCAGGTTTCAGCTCCACATATATTAGGTAAAAGAGCTGAAAAACCAGGACCAGACACCGGGACTACAACAAGCTTTTATTGTGGGAAGGATCTGCCGGGCTGTCTCCTAACAAAGGAAAAGCAGCATGGAGAAACAGGGAGCTTCTTTTATAGAAGCAGGGTGGGGTTAACCTGAGCTGGGGTGGAGTTGAGTGACATAGCATTAAGGGATCGGAGGAGCCTGTGACATCACTAAGAGGGGCTTGTGACATCACTGGTTACTTGAAGGTAGCAAGTATCGGGTTACTCTTTCAGCGGGAAAACAGGCATGATGGGAGAAAGGCTGTCCCTTGGTTTTAAAAAAAGCCATATTTAACACGGAGGATGCTGTTTCATGTGGCAGCCGTTTTAAGGCACAGAGCATTACTAAAAGGAAGCTACTGTTTTCTGTAGCAGCCATCTTGAGGCAAGGAAAAGCTAACATTAACAAGAGGTCCTCCAATAGGTTATGACTAAACTGTAATCCACCCATACCATGAATACTTCTCAGGAATACAATGGCACCAACTACTGTTATACTCCATATAACACTGCAGTTTTCATCTTACAATCTGTGATAAATCTAAAGTGCATATTCTAAGTGATAAAAACCCATTGCAAAATGTCATATGATACTACATGCTAAGTGATTACATGACACAGCATGCTACAAATGACTAACTTTTAGAAATAGTAAACACACTAACAGTTGCAGAGTTTAATGGTAGAAGAGGGGGCAGCAGTGGTTATCACTATGAAGAGGTCAAACGAAGAAATCTACACATCTGATAAAAATAGCATCCAGCTACACATGGGAGCACTATCATATTTGCAATTTCCTATGGTCCTAAAACTATTTAAAAATCAAAAGAGAAGCATATACAAGGTGTAGGTGACCACAAAGTTGGAAGGAACTTCCTAAGAATGATAGCAAATTGAACCATCATGAATAAAAACAGACATAATTGAGAATGAAAACACTTCAAAATTTTTGCATGGCAAAATCTGTAGGAAAGAAGTCCAAAAATGACAAAATTGAAAACATGTTTGTAAATTGTAGACAAATTGCTACCAATCCTAGCTACATATTAATAAGCTTTTAAGTGTTAGAAACCTGGGAAACCGCAGGTAAGCAGATGGGATGGGGATACAAAGGCATTGAAAAAACTAGTGCATGTTTTCCCTTGATGTATATAGAGTAGTTCCCTTTATCCATGGATTTACTCTGCCATTTCAGTTAATGGCCCCCAGGTACTGAGGTTAAAAAATAAGAAATGGAGAATGTCAGATAACAGTTAATAAGCTTTAAATCAATTTTACTACAATACTGTATTGGTTAGGGTTCTTTAGGGGAACAGAATCAATAAAACAGGCTTGAAGGGGCAGGGCCAGGACAGTCCACGCAGCCACCTGCATGCTGCACAGCCAGAAGATTCATCCTCTGCTCAGTCTGAGAAGCTGGAGGCTGCAGAATAAGAGGGACCCAAGATGAGGGGCTGTTTGCAGAGGAAGTTCTGGAAGCTCTCTGGACAGTCATTGGTGTCAGCCTTCCCTGGAAGGCTGGAGAACCTGGAGTGTGATATGCACGGGCAATAGCCATCATACTCCTCTTCAGGTAGAATTGAACTTTTTAAGTGCAGCCCAATTTCTTTCTTCTCATTCCTTCAGGGCTGCAAGCCTGTTGGATAGTGGGTTTCCCCTCCATGTGCTGGCCTACATCCCATTAATCTCTGGGAATTCCACAGACACACAAAGTTGTGCTTTACTAACCTGCTAGGCCTTTCTCAATCCAGTTGATGCTCAAAAAGTCAAAAGTATGATTATTCCATCTTATTGGCTATTGTTGTTAATATCTTACTGTGTTTCATTTGTAAATTAAAACTTGCAGTAAATATGTGTGTGTATAAGAAAACAGATATAGCAGATTTGGTACCAACTCAGGCGTCCACAAGGAGTCTTGTGGTGTGTCTGCCTTGGTGGGGTGGACGTGGACTGTGTTTTGAGATACTATTCCTGGATTCTCTAGATACAGATAATGAAATTAACGGTGCTGATGAAGGTAGTGATGACAACAATCACCATTCATTAAAAAAATCATAGAAAATCTATTTTCACAACAGTCCCAACATGATTTGGTGCTTTTAGCCGGTTGTAAGAGACAATTGGTCTGGATCTCTGAGGTAAAACTAACCTCTGGTTGCCATGGTGTCCTGATGTCACTGGCTGCTCCACTGAGGAAATAGAACTGGCTGTGACAAGTCCTGGAGAGACTGGGGTTATAGGGGCTGCTGATGAAAGAGACCTGGAAGGTGCTGGGCTGGGCTGGACATGGGAGGTGGCAGTTCGTGTGATGCTGACTTCTAACCTCTCATCTTCCTCTACTTTTCAGAGAAGAAACTAAGACACTATGAGCTTGAGGTTTTTAACTTGAGCTTTTTATAAATTTCCAGAAGCAAGTATGGGCTAGCTGGAAAGTGAGAGGCTTTTAGGGGGCCACAGTCTTCGTGAGAGGGGGCTCTATATTCACAATCTTTTCCTCTTGGAATCTCACTAAGATCTCATAGGGAGACAAAATTCTCCATCTCCCTGACAGTCCTGATAAAGGGAGGGGGAGTCTTGTAGGAGACCAGCTTGAAACCACACTAGTCGGCGTATAAAATATTATTGAATTGGCTTCTAAATTAGCTATTGATTAAATTGTGAGTCTGTCCTAGACCTATCTGACTTGCTAGATGGCTGGCATACAGAAACAGAACTCCCTGTGCCAATGGTCACAATTATGATCTCAATGATCAGTGATATTGTGGCATCTCTAAAAGCAAGATAATGCTACAGCTGAGGATTTATGACCCTTATACAGCCATCCAGGGCAGGTTTGCCTTATTTACCTCTTAGCGGTGCATGGTGATGGGCATATTGAGGGTAGAAAACTGTACTTTCAATTTATTACCCACCTATAAACCCTTTTGTCTCTTACAGTTCCTTCTGTTCCTATCCTGCTGACTCAAATTGCACCTTTATTTTTTACTTGTTTCTGTGAAGATATTTATGCCTTTTACTGGTACATCTCTGAGGAGCGATAATGTTTGATAGTATGATCAGTCTTTTACATCTTTCCTTAACAGACATTCAGATAAAAGAGCAGGAAAACTACTGATGAATTAAGAGTTTGTCAAAATAAATGCAGATTTTTGAAAGCTTGGATGTTGATACCAGCTTGTATCAAAGGGCAAAATCATATTTATTAAGTACTACAGTGTTCCTGGTTTGGATGACAGATTATTTGAAAATAATGACCTAAATAACATCCTTGCCCTTAAATTTCTTAGTTTGGATTTTCTAAAGGAATAGATTTGATATAAAATATATGTATGGTTATAGAAGTGATTTATGAGGTGGGTTGATAGGATCAGAGTCAGAAGGATCCCAGTGGCTGTCTGCTTACCAGAGATGGAAGAATCCAAGGTGGTCATCTGTGCCCTGAAAGAGCCAGATGACCCAGGAATGGAAAGATGGTGATCCAGAGTCTTACTTCAGAGTCACAGGTGAGACTGTTTTGGAGAGCCAGAGTCAGAGGTGGATAGCTTAAGAGTCTGTCCTGGAAGCCTGAAGTTCTGGAGACCGATGCCCAAAGGCAACAGTGAAGACTAGAGCTCCTCCAAAGAAAAGACCATTTCTTCCTTTCCCTTTTTATTCTGTCCAGGCCACAAACCTACTGGTTTGTGTTAACCCCATCTGGCATGACTTGTAGCTGCTTTGGAGCCCAAATGTTAGCCATCCACTAACACACTCAAAGGTTTATGAATCGTCCAGTCATTATTTACTCAAGTCAAGTTACCATATCACAATGAACAAACAAAATTGCTGCTTCAAAGTGGCTCTGACAGATTTCTGAGCTCTCTTCTCTAAGAGTCTACAAAGATCCAAGGTTGCGTGTCCATCTCTCCTCTCAAGAATGCCTACTTCCTTTGTTGGGCTGGGAATTTTACTCTCACAATGTCCTGGCCTGGTAAAAGTCATGTGAGCTTAACTTAAAGTGAAATTTGCATCCTTGCTAGTTGAAGAAACCTCCATTGGCACCTGCAGAACCTGATTGCAGAGATCAATGAAGTCCTGACTTCTGTCTTAACAGTTATGTAGGAAGTTGTAAGAGTCAAACTAAATAGTATTTTAGGCAGATAATTTTACATAGATGAGTGATTTAGATTTTTTTTTTTTTTTTTTTTTTTTTTTTTT